GTTAAGGAAGTTCAAGTGTCGTGCATTGATTACATAGCACAGGCAGCACGGCCGTGTTACCATAGGCACACCCGTGCTGGCCTATAAGCAAGCAACCCCAGGCAAGGCAGCACGGCCGTGCAAGCCAATAGCACGGCCGTGTCAGTATCCACGCACCAGCACGGCCGTGCAGGCCATTAGCACGGCCGTGCCAGATGTTGCCCGTGCCCGTGTCAGCTTCAGTATGAGCCCCGTGCTAGGGCATATTCAGCACGACCGTGTCATTTTTAGCACGGCCGTTCCAGGAAACTGCACGGCCGTGCCATATATAGCACGGCTGTGCCAAATTGAAGAAGAAATCTGGTTTACCTACTGACAAGATAGCACGCCCGTGCTGATCCAGGGTTAACTGCGCGCTTGACTTCTCCGAATTAGAAGACGTATATAAGGCCCGACTATAAGAGGATTTGAGAGACACTCTTAGAGATAGTTTTTGAGAGCTTTTGTAGAGAGTTATTGGAGAACGTTCTTAGTATTAGAGATTCTTTAGTTTTCTTAAAGATTATTCTAGCGATTTTAGTTTTCTTGGATTGATTTGAAGCAAGATTTGTGAAGATTCTTTGAATTATCCATTGACGACGAATATCAAAGTTCTAAACTTTTCCATTGATTCGCATCAATACAATTGGTATTATTCATTCTTGTTTATTAATCAAGCTTTATTATTCCTTAATCAGAATTCATGTTTATATCTATTATGCTTTTGGAATTCATTATTGCTTTGATTATGAATATGTGTGAGTAGTCTCCTAGCTAGGGTTTCGGGATGAAACCCGGCCTAGGTAATCTATGTAATTGAGGATTGGTTTTGATAAACGGATTGTGATTAAATTGATTTTATGCGATTGCATGTTAATTCATTATAATAGGAGTAGCTAACCTAGAATCTTGAATTTGATTGCATGATATCCTTGATTTGAACAAGAGATTGTGAATTGAGTATTTCATTGTTGAATGTGGTTTGATTATGTATCGAGTAATGTTAAGTGCATGAGAAATCCAAGATTAATATTGCCCGTTGTCTTCCTACCTGATGATATTGATCAGACATATAGTCTTTTCATATCCCGTTTGTCTCTGTGATTCCTTGTTGCGTAGTTACTGATGGTTTGGTGAATTCCCGTCTTCCCTAGTGTCTTAGTTTATCTGGTTTATCCCATCTTATTAGTAGTATTTTAGAACACCATTTTCCATTGATTTCGAACTAGCTTAGGTTTAAGATTGATTTGCAATTACTCTCGTTCCTCGTGGACCGAACCTTTATTTGCCATTGTACTTGGTTATAGGGTGTTCGTATAAGTATTGTTTGATTGAGAGTTAGATTGTAGCGACCGATTTAACCCTCGTCACTAGGCTAAATACTAAGTCAAACATGAAAGACTCTAATAGAGACTTTCAACTATATCACACAACAAACTGTTTAGCAAAGACTCGGTGAAACTGAATGAGCTAAAATGACAAATTGATGGAGTAAGATTGAGAATTACTCTGTAATTTAATCCATCATGTACGTTGTGATATGGAATCGTCGCAGGACTTACTTTCTTAGAGCATGTGAAGTATGTATGAAGCACAAATCAACCTGAATCTATATATTAGATCGTTAGATTATGGCCAAGAACATCCAAAGTACTTGGATAAGTAACAGGATGAGTTCTTGACTTGTAGAAACAAATACAATTTGAGAATTGATGTTGCAAGCACAAGCCTTAACAAGGATTAGATCCTTAACAAGGAAGTCGTTTATAAGCAAGAGCTAACAATAAGTCGTGGCTTGAGAATGGTAACATGGACGTGGATCCATGTGTAATGTGCAGGAATTTAAGGAAAATTTCCATGATCACAAGTGATTAGGGTATCCCAAATCATTGTGAGCCTTTTGGAATGAAACCCAAGCAAAGCATCATCAGGAAGTCTACTAAAATATATGTTGAGAATATTGTTGCCTTAATGGCGATAATAAAGAAGATGTTCTATGGAAAGTTCGTTGATGAACGTTAATGATTGTAGGTTGTCAAGTTGAAGGTCTCAATCATGAATATGAGTGGGAGCCATCACTTGGACAATAAATCCTAAATCACATATAATCCATGACACTCTCAAATTTTTATCATCTTATTATGAAAGTGATCAGTAATGAAGATGCTAAGATTAGCAAAGTAGTTATAACTAAACCTATGCAGTAAGTGAACGACAACATTCACAATTGCATGAAAGAAATCAAGCATATTAGATATGGGTGTGATTTCTATAGATGTTTTAGAAAGAGTGATACTCTTAAAACTTTCAGAAAAACCATTTATCATAAGATGAACCATTCAGGTTTTGGAGTAATTTAAAATTTCATTCAATTTTATCACTTTGTTTTCTATTTAATTGTGGTTTAGAATTAAATAATGAGTCCATTAGATTCTTGAAATATTCAAAATAGGGTATCAAAACCAGTCTTGGTAAGGAAAAACCTATTAAGTGAACATTGAATATTATAATCGAAAATTATCCCTAATCAAGGTCATTTAAACGATGGACGATTAATGACAAATTGAGATTAGTGTGTAGTCTGATTTATAGCACTGTTTCTTGTGCTACGAGGACATGATTGTCTTAAATCATTTGCACAAGTATTGGTTTAGAATCATACTGGATCGACCTCTGAGAATACTTTAAGAGATTAAAAATCGTCATAAGTATACTTCTCATTATGGCTATCGGAACCTATTTACTTGACCATGAGTATTGTGAGTTCTCTTGTTTGAGTACTAGTCCACTTTTATGTTGTCAAACGTCTGCCGTAATAGGGGATTATAACGGCAATACTCGAGCGGCTAGGTCCTCTCAGTAAGAGGAGATACATTACAAGACTAAGAATGTCCCCCTACTAAAATAGGGAAGATGTCTTTGTTGTATACAAGGCCTCTCGTAGAGCGAGACTGTAAATATGCATGGCCGTGCTCGGATGGATTTTAGAAATCATCTATTTATTGACATTCGGACTCGGAATCGACAAACACTTCTGGACGTAATAAGGATGACGAAATAATCTTACCTTATAGTTCATGAAGAGACATGAAGAGACATAGGAAAGGGGCTATACACTAAATGCTCACTTGTCCGAAAGGATAAGTGGGAGATTGAAAGGAATGGTGTTCTTCGAACAAGTGTATTATTATGATAGCGGGTTCAGAATTATTAGAAAGCTAATATATTAAGTAAGGTCAAGTGATCGGAATGCCTGGGTGGAGGCCGCTTCCGATCAGTAATATTAATGTATAATTATACATTAATATTACTGCTTAATCTTGACTGAACCCTTTGGGTCACACCCAAGAAAATATACGAACCGACTCAACGAATTAATTCGAAAGAAATTAATTCGTCGCCCGAGTGTAAAATATTTATAAGTCGGAAATTCGAGTTTAAAGCGTCGAAACCGAGCGTCGGAAGTCAAGTCAAAAATAGTAAAAGACGAGACGACAAAATTAGTAATAAATCAACAATGACTAAAATCCCCTAGCATCGGAATCCCGAGGGCTAGGGGATTAGGCAAGCTAGCAGCCCGCACCATGTGCGAGGCTTGCTAGCGAGCCACGGCCAGCAGCCCGCAAGCATTGCATGGCTTGCTGGCGCGCGCTATTGCTAGCAGCCCGCACATGTGCGTGGATTGCTAGCAGCGCCAATCGGCAGCAGTAGCCCGCACATATGTGTGTGGGCATGCTGGGCCGAGAAGGATGCAGCTAGCAGCCCGCGTGAGCGGGGCTAGGCTGGGCCGAGTGCTAGGGCGGGTCATTGGGGAAGCATGTGAAGGGAGTGTGTTTGTGTGAGGATAAGTGGCACAAGGAGAGGAAGGAGTGGGGAGCAAGTATGGTCCCCTCCTCTCCAAGTGGTCCTCACTTCTCTTTGCATACAACAAGGACACTTGTTGCTTTATTACTTTCTTGCCTATTTAATTTATTTTAGCTTTAAATTAAATTGTGGAATTTCATGATCCCACATTGATGGGATTGAAATTCTCACTCCCACTTTTCTCTATAAATACCCATGATGGGTTTTGGAGAAAAGTGCATGAGCGGGAGTTAAAAAGAGCATTGTATTTTGGCAAAAACTCTTAAACTCCATTAACACTTGGGTTTTGGTCGGACCTTGCTAACTCCAAGGTAGCGGACCTAAAAAGTCGGTGTTCGTCCTTTGTGGTTGGATACCGTTGGAGGCTCGGTATTTTCAGAGCTAAAGCTTTCAAGTAAGAGCCCATTAGGTCGGGCGAAGCACGCGTTAAAGGTAAATTCCAATTTTATCCTTTTATGTTTATTTGTTATGCTTTATGGTTTTATTAATTGCGAGTGGTTCTTTGGGTCGGGGTTGTTTCCGCGGTAAGTTGGACTTACCAAACCCCTACATTACTCGTGTTTTGGCGTGTGCCAGTCACGCAGAAAAAGTGTTGTATATATCGAGTTAGTGGACAGAGTTTAATCATGAGGTGCCCGATGACCCAAGTAGAAATGAGAAAAAAAATGACTTAATGTAGGGATTGATTATTATCAGTAGTTCATCAATTGAGTTGAATTATATTTAAAAGGAAAAATGGAAAAGAAAAATCCAACCTTTGCGCTTTTTTCTCCTAAAAATCCAACCTTCATTTTATTTCTCAAAATCCAACTTTTTTACCCCACCTTCTCCAACAGATCCATTACCTGTTGATGACTTGTTTTTTAAGTCATATACCACGTGTTATCTATTAATAGGTCAATTAAAATTTTAGTTGTTAAAAATAAAAATAATTATAAAAAAAAAAAAAAAAATCAGAAAACCAGCCAAACACCACCACCTCCACCAGCCAGCCACCTTTTTCCCCTTCCCCTTCGCTGCCGGCGCACGACACAACTCTCCTGTCCGCACCCAGTCATCCTCCAATCGCCGGCGACGTCCATCTCCCTTGAAAGTCAGACCAGAAAACCTCTGACAACCTATCCCGAACCCAAACATTGCTTCTCTTTCTTCTCTCTTCTCTGACCATCGGTGGTTACGGGTGGTGGTGTTGGTGCGAGTTGTTTGGGTTGGTGGTGTTGTAAGAACATATTAAGCTTATCATTACCACAAGCCTCCACCTTCTTAAGCTGGATCTCAAACCATGAATCCATGGTAACAAATATGACAAAACTAATATGAACACCGAGACCTCGACGCTTCCCAGAGCACTCCAAACACATGAAAATCCTGTAAGAAACAAATGCCCATATTGGGTCTTTATGGGAACAATCAACACAAGTTTCGTTCCCTGTTTGTGATTGAAGGTCTCTTAACCTTCTAGAAGCCGCCGCCATTAATGGTGATCTTCCTCCTCCTTCTTCCTGGGGTTTGGAGGGGTTTGGATTAATGGGGGGGGGGAGGAAGAATAAAGGAGAGATGTTTGGGAAATTGGGTGAAACAAAGCAGGAGAAAGAGAAGAGGAAAGAGACTAGTGTTGGTGGTGTACTGGCGGTGTTGTAGTGGTACGGTGGTTAACTGGTGTTGGTACGGTGTTGGTGGTGTGCTGGAGGTGTCATTGGTGGATTGTTGGGTTTTTTCCATTTTTGAGGAGAGAGAAAGAGGAGGAGTGACAAAGGAAATTGAGAGAATTATATATATATATATATATATATATGTATGTAACTTGTTTAACCGGTTAAAGGTCAAATGGATCTGTTGAAGAAGGTGGGGTATAAAGGTTGGATTTTTGAGGAATAAAATGAAGGTTGGATATAAAAATACATACTATAAAACTATTACATTAAACTAACATCATGATTTTTTTTTTAATTAAAAACAAGAATTATTAAAAAAAAATAGATAACTTAAGAGACCGGTTATTAAATATAACAGGTCTCTTTAATGAAATATGAAAGCAGCGCAAAAAATTATTCTAATTCAATGTCTGACATAAAGAGACCTGTTATCGTGGTGGCAATAGCAGCAACAAAGAGACCACCTATCTGATATTTTAATAGGCGTTCTCTTTGATATTTAAAAACTGACAGACTAACATGGGCTAATCTCAGATAGAAGCAACGAAGAGACCGCCTATCTGTAATATGCGGTCTCTTAGATTTTTTTTTTTTTTTTTTTTGAGTCACGTGACTCACTGTGCACCTTAATAGATCCGCCCCTATAAACAAGACAGTATTTCTCAAACATGGTAGAGGAGGTTTATATTGAAAGAGACTTGTGATGAGCTCGTGATTATTTTTACAAAGACTAAAAGAATCGGAAATTTCTAGTGTTCTTGCTCACAGACCGTGATCATTCATATTCATAATCAAAGTTTATTAATTTAATTAGTTTATGGTACATCTTCCTAAAATAAAGAATTTCATGCACGTAATTTCTAAAGAGTGTGTTTTTCTTAAGAGTGGGCCTTTGTGTTTCTAGTACTACCTTCGTAAACTTTTGTTTCAACTTTGGGGTATTATTTGTGAGATGTAAAATATTCTAAAGTTACAATCAAAAGTTAACTGAGGTAGTCGTTTATATGTCATTCTACTATGTAAAGTTTTTTTTAAAACTTTTGTAAGCCTCATGCTTTGTTTTTAACACCACCGTTCCTCTCAATTAGTTGGTAACTAATCAAGTAATCAACTTAGATGTATTTTGTTTCTAGTTAAACCTTGTAGAGACCTTTTGGGTATTCACAAGTGGTATAGGTGTATAAAAACAACGTTTTACTAATTTAAATACGGAGGGAATATACAATCAAATGACTAAAAGCTACTTAAAATCTAATAGAGATTAGGCCGATCACCTAACACGCTCTTAAATAGTTGGACCTTGACCAAGTGGGTAATAATTAGCATATGATGGGGAGTATAGCAGACAACTCTTGGCGCTATACTCTCGTACGGAGGTAGAAACATCCGTGATTCAGTGAGGAAGAAACTGCGGCCGATCTTTTCTTTTATTTTTCATTATAATTTGCAATCATACATGTTTTTCATTGAGGCAAATAGACAAAATTGAGACTATTACTCCAGATTAACAAAACCAATGTTTGTATACTTTTGTTTGTTGATTCGCCCAAACCAGGAAAAAAGCCCACAGCATTGGCATTCTGCAAAACCAGTGTTGTGTTAGAAGACGTCAATTGGAGTTGGACCCAATTATCATATGGCAATTTTATAATATATGCTCGTCAGCTCGTGACTATGTACGTAAACTATTTCAGCTTAGCTTCCAGCTGGTTTTCATTGATCTAATGCACCCCATTCTAATACTATTACTCTAATTATCATATGGCAATCTATAATTTTCATAACTACTCGTGAATTTGTACTTCTTTCTGTTCCTATGTTCCCTTGGAATTTTGTACTATTCTCTCTCCGTTTATATCTTACTCCGTATTTCTATTCTTGGATTGTCACAAATCACGAGAAACTTGTAGGAGGATTTTTTTTTGAAACGCTAAACATCGCCCACAAATTACCATATAAAGCCCACAAATATGTTATGATTTGACCATTATGCCCTTTTGCTAAAATTGAGATAATCTCGGTGTAAAAAATGTGGAGCCGTATTGGCTCGTCGGGGGAGACCGGATGGCAGGCCGGAGATGCGGGGGACGCCGGAGGTACGTCGTCGTCGACGGAAAACGAGGTAAGTGACCGCTAAAATTCACGGTTTACCGTCGTAGTGGCTACGGCGCCTAGGGTGGACGCCCAAACCGTAGCCTGGACGTCCAAGCCGGACGCCAGAACCACCAGAGTGGCGTCCAGGCTAGACGCCCAGACCACCAGAGTGGCGTCCAGCCCAGACGCCCAGACCACCAGACTGGCGTCCTGGGCAGACGCCACTCCACTGGGTGAGGCGGCCCTGCCAGGCGCCAGTCCAGTGGGTGTGGCAGCCCTGGCAGACGCCACCTTTAATAATTAAATTTTATTTTTTCCTTTTTGATTTTGTTGTTGTTTTTTATTTAATTGTTTTGTGAAAATAAAAAATCGAAAATGATTTTTTAAAAAAATTCGAAATGGGTTTTTTGTAAATTAAATTTGAAAATTCGAAATAGGTTTTTTTAAAATTAAATTTGAAAATTCGAAATGGTATATTTTTAAATTTAGTTTGAAAATTCGAATTGGGTTTTTATAAAAATTAAGTTTGATTATATATAATTATGTTTTTTTTGTGTTAATTATGTGGAAATATAGAAATTAAATGTATTATCCGTTAAATGTATTTATTGTAATATATAATTAATGCAGGAATATGGTGGAGACGGAAATGATTACAGTGAGATATTTGGACATGATGGTCCATTCGAAGAAGCTCAACAGGCGATTGATTGGGCAAAACAGGTTGCAATTGCAGCTGGATTTTGCTTGGTAGTAGCAACTCATAAATCTCAACGGGATGGTAGAATGGATCGCATTTTGAGATGTGACCGTTATCGCAAAAGAGAAGAAAGAGATTTTCGTACAGCCACTCGGTTTGACACAAAGCGGAAAGGTTGTGGGTGTGAGTTCAGAGTAAAGGTTCGACAACTACGGAGTCGTGACGATTGGGAAGTGATAGGTTACTCTAAATGGGGGTATCACAACCATGAGATGATAGTATATGAAGAGGGTCATCGACAACTGAGCGGCTTAAGTCCTGCTGCGAAACTAGTTGTGAAAGAAATGAGTGATGCTCAAGTGAAGCCTGCTAAAATATTAGCATCTGTGTTAGAGAAATTTCCAGAAGACCATCCAAACCGAAGACACATCTACAACGTCAGACAGCAACTCAGGTTTGAACGGTCAGAGGGAAGGAACCCTATACAGCAGCTGCTACACCAGGCACAATCACGTGGTTACCTGTTCTGGTTTGATTCTGATGAAGATACAGCGGAGGTGACTCATCTTTTCCTTGTGCATCCTGATTGTGCTGATATGATCAAGTCTTGGCCATTTGTGATTTTGATCGACTCAACGTACAAGACAAACAAGTACAAGTTCCCTCTGGTTGAGATGGTTGGGATGGCTCCAACGAACCAGAACTTTCTGATTGGTCATGCAATCATCAGGGATGAGACGGCTCCAAGTTATTATTGGGTTTTGGAGAAGCTGAGAAACTACATCGGGCCTAATGTTCATCCAGCAGCCATCGTCAGCGACTGTGAGGGAGGTCTCTTTGCCCCCATAGCAGAGCTGTTTCCCGAATCGAACCACTTATTGTGCACATGGCACATCAACAACTGCGTGAAAGTGAAAGCCTACAACCGAGTTGGAGCAGTTCCGTTCGATGTACGACCGAGTGTCCTCCAGCCATCCTTCTATTATTCGTGACGCTACTCATGTGCTTCATGACATGTTCCACCCGTCTAACTTAGATTATGAGGAACCCGAAGGAGTTGACCGTCCTCGAGGTCGACAGCGGCGGAACAGGAGTGCGTTTGAGTATATCCGTGGTCTTGGTCGTGGTCGTTCTCGTGGTCGGACATCGTCATCTAGTCGTAGTCAATCTTCATCGTCTGTGAATATGCCCCTGAGAACTGGTACGTTTTGGTTGTTTTTATTGCACATAGTTTTAAAGTGTTACTCCTGTCTTCTTAACTGTCTATAATTAATTATTTGGTGAATAGGAAGAAACGATGTTGATCAGTTCCCGTACAAGGAAAGGATACCTGCGATCATCATGTCGTACGTGGAAGGGTGGAATGATGTAATCGGAGATGGTAACTGCGGATTCCGGGTCGTGGCTGATGTTTTTCAAATGGGCGAAGACAACTACGGTTTGGTGCGTGAGTTGATGTACAGCGAAATTGCCTCTAACCGAAATGTTTATCGTCATGTGTACCAGGATGACTTGGATGGCGCTCTCCGGCGTATCCGGTGGGGAGGTGGACCTTGCGGCGAAAATCATTATTTTGACGCGCCCCTAGATCTGTTTGCCGTTGCAAACATTTACAAATGCGCAGTCATGCATTTCGGCCTGGGAGTGCATAGTCAAGCTTATTATCCTTGTACCACGGTTCTCCCTTGGCGGTCGCGTGAGACTGTCACCACACCGGTCAGAGAGCTAGCTATTGCGTTTCTTGGGTCGTCATACAGACATTTCATCCGACTAGACATGTCAACCGATTTTCCGGTGCCACCGATTATACCTCGGTGGTACAACATTCGCACAGCGAGCGTAGAGGGTTGGGATGCGCTATATAATGACCGGATCCACGAATGGAACACCCTAGCTGCATTTTAGTTTTTCTTGTTTACATTCTTTATTTGTAATCTTATTTGTACGTTGCTCTTTTAATGAGAACATTAATATTTTATATTGTATTGCTTACTGCATTCTATATGCTGCATGGGTAAGTTGCGCG